TGGCCATTCTTTCCCCTCACTTAGGGCAGCCCATAAGGGAGGTGACACGTACAGTAGCAGACTTAGGAGAGGCTGAAGCAACGAGAACCTGGAAAGAAATAAGACCTGTTACTCACAAGAAGAATTTAAGGGGCCCCATGAAGGTTACAAGGACCCAGATGTGGGTTGATTTAATACAGGCTGGAGCAGATGGAAGGAAATTAGATGGGAAGTCAAATATATCTCACTAGAGCTATGGCAACAACTGAAACCAGAGCAGCAGTTCCAGCCATTAAGATTAAAGAGGCAGAGGTCAGAGACAGAGTCACAAGTCTGGCATGTGTGTCTGCAAGACTTTTTGCTGGAGAGGCTGGAGAACAATGTTCGAGCTTCCTTGCACAGGGGCCATTGCAGAGGACTGAGGGCACATAGATTGAGAAGAAAGCAAGCCGGAGGGGTGGGGTGTGGATAAAATGAGAGTTCCTGTGGCCAGGATTCTCACCTGTCCCTGGTTGACTAGCTCACTGCATACCTGTGGGCAATACATGGTTGCTGACTCTATATAAAGAGCTCTGCCCAGTGCTCTGCGTGTGCCACTGTGGCAGGGCTGCAAGGCTGCAGGAGAGCAGAGCAGAGGCTGGAGTGGTGGCATCACCAAGGACAGAGGCCCAGAGGATGGCTGTGTGGGATGACTATGCAGAGAGGCCCAGAGGACAGCTGTGCAGACAGAGGGGCCCAGAGGCAGAGACCGGCTTGCTACATGCAGACTCGCTCTGAGTGAATGGGATTTTAGTGACTGACCTGCCACCTGGAAATAAAGTTGGGTATAACCCTTTCACCCCAAGAACATTTTGCTGTCAATTTCTTTGGTCACATTGAATCCATAGCAAACTTGCTTGGGGCTGAAACCCATTGGCAAGACAATTGGGTATAAATATTGATCTGGCATCTTCCAAGCACCATGAGCTCAGGCTGCTCACATTTGGCATGGGTCTGGCTGCCTCTCTGGTACCGTGCTGCACTTTATCTGGCTCTCCAAAATGGAACCTATGTTGGCACATTCTATCCATGAATGCACCCACTGAAGCTCAGGTGGTAATTTGCCTTTTGATTTGCAGCCAGGGGCGCTTCCCAGTTAGTGAGAGAGACTGATAAAAAGGGTAGTGAATTACCAAAGGAGGTAATTTGGCTCCATTTCTGCTGATAAAGTCACCCAAGCAAGTTTTCCTGAGGCTGTGGTAATCTGGAAGGCTGTCTCTCACTTATCCATAGAATCTAGAAGCTCTGTGGCCATATTGCAAAGATAAGCTAATGAGTATGTATTACCCAATAATAGAGGCTGCACTATCTTTCTTTGGTACTGTAAAGAACACCAGGTGTTAGAGGTAGGTTTTCTTATCACTTGCATAACAAGTTGCATGTGCACTAAGTGTATGAGAACAGGTGAAACACTTAATCCAGATTCAGAGTTAACTAGTTAACTATGAGTATAACAGAAAATGAACTTGGAAATGACTAAGTACTTGTTCCTATTATGAGTCATTTATGATGGACTTCAATGGACTGGTTATGTCATAATTAGTAGATATTAAGAAGACTTTCTTATGGACAGCTGGGTAGTATAAGGCAACCCTTCTTTAACTTTAATATGCAAAGAAATCCCCTGGGGATCTTGTTAAAAATACAGGTTCTGATTCAGCAGGTCTTAGAGTAAGGTTGCCTTTCTAAAAAGCTCTTAGATGATAGTGAAGCTACTGATTCATGGGCCACCCTTTGAATAGCATGGATTTAAAATTAAGGGTATTATCATCCCTCAATTGCATGAGAGTTTATGAAACACTCTCCCTAAAAATACACATATATTACATATCTGGTTTATAGGTATTTTTTTGTCTTTTCTGCTCCTTTAAATTTATTCTGTAATCATTGGATGCCTTGGATGAAAATTTCTTCAGACTCCATGACTTTTCTGCTCATGCTTGTGTAATAGATCATCCTACTGTCAATTAAGATTATGAACCAGGCTCAATCCAGTAATTAGATTTGGGAGCCAAGATACTAACCATGATCTGACCTTGATTTAACAGGCAAACCTTCTTTAGCCCAGCCTGGGACTGCTTCCCCTGAAAGTCTGACCTGGAAAGAGGTTCTCAATCAGATTTTTTCTATTTATCCATTTTGAGCCTTTTGTTCTAAAGCTGATCCTTACTCATGGGGCATTTTTGAGGAGTCTTTGTTATTCTGGGTCCTGGGGACCTCACTCCTGTTGCTGGGTGGTAGAGCCATTTGGATGCCAGGTGGCCACTTGCTCCTCCTGCTTTGGATCCTAGGAATTTGGCCTCACTTCCAGCTTTTTTTTTTTTAATTGAAGTATCACTGATATACAATCTTATATTGGTTTCAAATGTCCAACACAGTGGTTTGGCAGTTACCCATATTATTAAATCCTCACCCCCACTAGTGTGGTTGCTATCTGTCAACATAGGAAGATGTTACAGAATCACTGACTGTATTGTCCGTGCTGTACCTTTTACTTCCAGCTTCTTGCCGCTCCTTTCTAGGATCCCTACTGGGCCAGATTCCCACCCACTGCCTAACTCAAGTCCACAGGTAACTCTGGTGTCATGTGATCTGTAAAATTGTGGCAATGTGGATGGATCTGCCCCCAGAGCAGTTATTCAACCATCCCTGGCCCTTTAGATTTCCTGGGCAGAAGGCAGCTGGTTGGCCTGGGGTCCCCACATGCAGGGATATGCCACCCAGGATGGCCAGCTGGGCCCATCCGAGTCCTTCTCACTAAAGTTGGGTAGTGGAGGCTATTAACAAGGCACCAGCACTTTCCAATGTTATCTCTTCATAAATATTCCTTCCCTTTCCCTCTCTCAATCCTTTCGTATTCTCAGAGTGCATCAAGGGGTTCAGAAGTCATGGGATGGATTCAAAGAAATTTCCTTTGAAATTCTTTATATGGCAGTTTGGTACCTCACTTTCAAATGTCCCTGTCATTATTATTCTTGTAACAGAATGTCAGCAACCTAAGTTTGGCGAGCACAAAGTGCCAAGAGGTGGGTGTGATGCATTTCCCCATTTTACTGAAATGGGGTGAAGAAACTGAAGTACAGAGAAATTCTGGAGAATGCTGCATGTGAACCTAAGAAGTTTTGCTCCTGAGTTGGTAATCTTAACACTATGCTAGGCCTTTGGTAGAAAACCTCCTCCTATTTGAAGGCAATTTAATGGTATATCCAAAAGAGAATATTAAAAAGCAAGTGGTATCAGGCCTGCAGAATAAAATCTTTGGATAACATTTTTGTTTCTAGGGCCTAATTATTATTGTCTAAAAGACGTAGCCTTGGATTCCATTTCCCAAAGTGGGTTCTGTGAAACATCAGGCCCATGGTTCCTTTAGCTATTCAACCCACGTGCTGCACACCACACAGGGAAATCTGTGCCTCTTGGAGGTCACAACCTATTACCATGTTACAGATTCTAAGAAATCTTGAAGAAAAAAAAAGTGTATTTAATTCCAAATTAATTTGATATTGGATTTTTAATTTTTTAAACTTTTTTTGGCTACATCAGTAACGTTCTTTGGACGTTCCAAAGAACTGGCTTTTGGGAATTTTGTAATGGATCTGTTCATTAATTTAGGAATGAGTGATGGTGCATCTACTAATTATATTTTCTTCTTCTTTGGCTGTAAAGAATGTTTAGCTTGCAGTCACCTTTTGCATTAATTTGACAAATTTTCGGAAGGGTATTTTGAAGAACTAACCCCTGCCTTTATAAATAACACCAAAAATAACAAAGCAGTAATGTGTTAACATTTGTGTAGGATGTGAGGTTTGGTGTAGTGATCCTCAACTTTGCACATTTGAATCACCTGGGAAGCTTTTAAATATCTGATGCTCAGGCCACACCCCAGGCCAAATAAAGCAGACTTTCTGGGGTAGAATCCAAATCCCTTCATCCAAGCTCTGATATGACTCACCCACAGACCTTTTGATGAATCACCTAGATATTTAGGTGATTTCAAACTACTTCTCTGAAAAGGAGATCAAATGGTCTACTAATCAAAAGTTTTGTCTGGCTGAAATAAAATGAGTAAAACACATAACATTTTCTAATTTTTTAAAGAAAGGAACCAAATGCATACTACTTAATGTTTTGACATCATGGCAGTTATCTAGGATATTTCTTGTTGAGGCTTTGCAATTTATGACCTTTTGTGTAAACCCCTTCTCCTCATTTGGCTCCCATTTGTCAATTTTATATTTCCAGACTGCACTCTACTGAAAATAATGAAATTAGATCAATATAGTTATGTTAATGGATGTAATATGCAGCTCATTTGAAAGAAAATGGCAATGCATATTTTCATACATTCTACATTACTCAACTCATTGACCAGAAATGTGTTAATGATATAATGCTGTTATTTTGAATGCCAGAGAGGTCTATTGATGGCACCTTAGAGATAAAAAGCTACTTAATGTGCATAAAACTGGAATAAATGACTGCACTGAATATATTTAAATTATCGTTAATGTCCTGTTTTTAGCAGCAAATTTTATTCAAACTCATCGACTATTTTTCCTAGGACTTAAATAAATCAACTATGCATTTTTATTCATCTCAGCTCACACCATTCCTTGTCATTTTGCTTGAATAATGAGCATAATTCTGTTTGCCAAATAAAAGAAAAACAAAATCATGGAGCTATAAAAAAGCAAAATACAAGACTTATGTCATTTAACGAGAAATAGCCAGGACTCAAGTCTTACTTGGAGTCTCAGTTGCACACATTTCTTTGCTTTCCCTTTTGGTCTTTGCCCTTCTTGTTTCTCAATTAGAGATTTCCATTTGTATTGGGAAAAACAATACCGATAGCTGAGGAACTTCCAAGAAATCTTTGTAGTATCTTTAGGAAATAGAAATATGTTATCTACTTCTGAGAAGGCAGTAGCAGTCATGAGGATGGGAAGGAGGAGATAGGAAGGTGAAAGAATTGCTTGTTGGAGTACTTGAATGAAGGTGAGGATGCAGAAGGAGTCCTATTGGAGAGAAAATGGATTTGTGTCAATTGAAGACTATTTGCTGTTCTATAGAGAAGCCCAAGGATTAGCAACAAAAGATATTAACATTTAATCTTTGTATTTATAAAAAATTGAGAAACTAAGGTATAAAGAAATCCTGGGTAGATCCATACAGTAAAACGTCATTTGTGAATTTCATAAATATGAACTACCTTCTAAGAGTACTGTTTAAATGTCACCAGCCTAAAAAGAATGCATTCTAACTGGACTTCGATTGGCAAGTTCTTCTTCACCTCCTTGTCCTATGTGAAGATCTGGTTCAACTGGCAATACCCAAGAGTGTGGCATTTTAAAAAGGGAAAAGGTGAGTAAACACTGTTACCTGGATCTGAGCCCCAGGACAGAGACAACTGTTCTGATACAATTTTTCTTTCTAGGTGTGGTTTACTGGCCTAAAGGGCATCACTGAGCTGGTGTGTTTGTTTCTTTTTAAATAAAAATCCATGGAATAGAGGAAGCACTAGTAAGGAATTTTGAAAACAAAAGGAAATTTCCTCTGTAAATAGCTGGGAACTAACTGGAGCCTCAGTTTCATCAACTGTGCAGGTGAGATGCCATCTAATGTCTCTGAGAACCAAAAACTATGAATTAGCCTAGAGCGAGACAGAACATATTTGCTTAAACCAATGGTGACATCTGGTGGCTAGATATGCTAATGACGGCTTTAAAAGCCTTTCCACTTTCCAGAATCTTGGACAGGCCTGTTTTTTTTTAAAAATGGCTGCCTTTTCCATTTGATAATGTTCCACAGGCCAGTTGGAAATCTTACTCAGATTTGGTCTTTATAATTTATTGTATATATTATGAGTTTTTTAAAATGATAATTATGTAAGTGAATGAACATGTTTTTCAGTGAGTGAGAATGATAATCTTTTTCTTTTAAATGCAAGACTCTAATAACTCTATAAACAAGGCTCTTATTTCCTCTGGCTCAGGAGCTACCCCTCTGAAGGAGAACATGCTGGTGCCATGAAATTGCCTGGATCAACGCAGGCTGTTAAAAGATAAACTGAGGCATATTACAAATTTCAAGAATTTATTTGAGCAAAAATTGATTCAAGTTGATCGTTAGGTTTCTGTCAGGACAAACGGTAAGTATTCCTGGCAGTACTGAACAACCCTTTGGATGCTTGTCCCCAAAGAGAGTACAAAACATAATTACCCTCCCAAGATTCAGAGCAACTCCCAAAAATAATCAAAAGAAAAAGACTCAAACAGCTCCACCAAGGCTGGCAACAATTGCAGAACGTTTGGTCATGTAGAAATACATGACCCTAGCCACAAGTGGAGTGCAACCCACATTTCTGTCCATATTTTGGGGTCCCGCAATCTGACGGATGCCAAGCCAATTATCAGGAAACAGAATGAGACAAGAAGGCCCCTGGCAGAGAGAGGATCAACAACGAATGGGTACCTGAAGGCAAATTCATGAGTCACGATTAAAAAATTTAATTCTTATTAATTTCTTTTACTTGGCAATATGCATTTGGAAAGGAAGGGACAACGTGAAGTTTTACTTTCATCTGTCCACCACAGGTAGAGACCTGGGAGAAATGACTTTTTTAAGAATTTGTGCCCTTTGCTGGTTTCTACCAGTTTTCCCAGGATCCTCTCTGCAGGCTGTGGAATAATCAGGGCGTCCCAGTGGGTCTTATCTCAGTCACCAGAAACTGTAGAGGAGGAGAAATAATTTTCTTGCTATGCTTTATGGTGAGTGCTGGGCTGAGACCCATTTTTCTCTAGGGCACATTGTAAATGGATTAACTTACCTAGGGCAAAATTCTTCTTTGTGGACACTATTCCAAGACGACCTTTGGTAAGTGTCTTGCCAATGGGTTTCCACCCCTGACAAGTTCACTTTTGATTCATTGAGACAGAAAAATGACAATGCAATATTCTTGGGGTGACAGGGTTTATACCCAGCTTTATTCTCATGGTGGCAGGTCAAGCTCTAGAATTCCCTCTGCCTCAGGGCAAGTCTGCATGCCCCAAGTGGGTCTCTGCCTGCCTGCCTGCCTCTCCATCCTGACAGCCCTCAGGGTCTCTGTCATCAACGCTATCACCACTCCAGTCTCTGCTCTCCTGCAGCTCTGCAGCCCAGAGCACCTGGCAGAGCTCTTTACATAGAATCAAAAACAGCACATTGCCCACACGTGTGCAGTGAGCAAGTGGGCCAGAGTCAGGTGAGAATCTTGGCCACAGGATCTTTCATTTTCTCTACAGTAAGGTTAACCTAGTTTTAGTTTAAAACAAAACTTCATTCACGTGTGGCTTCACACTGGACCCAATCCAGCTTAAGTTGGACCTGGTCCAACCCTGAGCCGGTCCGGTTTCCAGTCGGACTCAGTCCGGTTAAAAGTCGGACGGGGTCTGGTTTCCAAGTCGCACCCGGTCTGGTTCCAAGTCGGACCCAGTCCAGTTACATGTCGGACTGCGTTCGGTTTCCAACTCATACCAGGTCCCGTTACAGGTCGGAACCCTACTGGTTTCAGGTAGAACGCGGTCTGGTTTCCAAGTCGGACCTAGGCCGACCCTGGCCCCAGTCCAGAAAAAGAAATGCTGAAGTCTGAAAATTCCTGACAGAAAGCTGCAGTGTGAGGATTGGAGAGAGGCTCGGTTACGACCTCTGGAAGCAGCAAGAAAGCGTGAGCTCAGGAGCTCAGCAGGTACCTGTCTGGTTGCGCCTTGCTCTTGGGGGCCCTGGGCATGGGGGCGTCTCCTTTAGTTCTTCATACCCCAGACTGTTCAAAGATAAACTGAGGCATATTAGAAGTTTCAAGAGTTTATCCGAGCCCAAATCAGTTCAAATCCAGCAGCATCCAATCTAGCATATGGGAAGGAGCTCTTAGGAGCTGTACAAAATGAAAGATATTCTTAGGCAGAACGGAGTGGCAGTAAGGAAGTTATAAGAGGCAAAAAATAGGGTTGGCTCTTGCAAAGCTCGCTTTAGGGGACCGAAGGGGTCTATCAGGCAGATTACCTAGCTAGTGCTCATCAGGTGGTTTCTGATTGACTGGTTTAAGATTTCATTTCTAGGAAAGCCAGAACTGAAGTTAAGTCGTACTTTGGTGATGTGGGGCTTACCATGGCATTTTGAGCCTCTTGTCTTGTTTTTAACAAGACTTAAATTTAAAAATAAATTCACTTGTTGATTCTCTCCTTTATTCAATTCACTCTTGCGCCAACCTCTGTAAAGGATCAGTGGGATTCAGAAACAAAAGCATGCCCCTCAACTACTGAATCCTCTGATTTAGAATCTGTAGAGCTGACCACACACTGGCCTGGGTCTGGACTCCCTTTAGTAAATATAGACAGCGTCAGGGTAAGTCTCAAGTTTCATTTTGTTGGTCATTATTTCCTGGTCTGTCTTTCATGGGGGCTTACCCCTGCGTTCTGAATCCCAATTTTCCTTCTCTCACATCACTCTGAGTTTCTAGAGTATGCATGTGTCAGCACCTAATAGTGCCTGTCACCTGGTAGATGGTCAATGTGATTGTTAACTGACTGCCTGAATGAATGTGATGATGCCATCTCTCTGCTTAAAATCCTCTGAGGACCTCCTGTTAATGTAAACAATAAAGTCCCACCTTTGACTATGGCCTTTAAGCCCTGCTGACCTTTCTAACCTCAGTCATGCAGCCCCATCTGTGTTGGTCCTTTAAAACTGTCCTATCTGAGGACTTTTGCACACATTTCCCCTCTTGCCTAGAGTAATCTTTCCTCTGTCCTTCAGATCCCAGTTTAGGTGTCTCATTCTCTGAAAGGTCTTCCCTGACTTACTACTTAAATAGGTTCCTCTACCATTTTCCATTTCAGCACTTTTTCGGTTGCCTTTGTAGCATTTACCTCAATTTTCAATTATTTAGTATTTAATGTATTTTAAAAAACCCTCCCCTTTGCTTTTATTCCCCAACAGCTAGCTCAGGGCCTGCCTACAAAGATAGTACTGGGATAGCAATACAGCGGTAGGGCAGTGCATAAGTAATCATGAAGGAAGATTGCTGTGTGTATTTTTTAAGTTTCTGAAGAGAATTTGCAGGTAAAACAGGTTTTTTTTCTCTCTACTCTAAGCCTCAGATTTGCTCTAATCTTCTGGGATTAAGGTTTCTCTAACCTTCGAAAATGCTAAGAAAATTTCCTTTTTGTTTGTAACATAATTCTGGTTTCCTGTTTTGTAGATAATCTCTCTGCCATTATAAGGTTCCTTTTGTAGAAGCAAAAGCACTGGTACTTTGTTAGAGTAACCAGAATGTACTAAGAACGCCAACCATTCTCATGTCTTCCACTGTCATCCTTACATCTAAGCCTTCACCTTCTCCTGCCTCTTACCTTTTGTCCTCCACGTTGTAACCAGAGTTAATTTTAAAAATAAGTCAGTTAGATAGTTTGTCCTTTTTACAATACTGGCTCTGTTGCATACAGGCACTTATGATGATGTTATAAAATCTCCCTCAGTTTCCCTATCTATAAAATAGGGATAGTAAAATCACCTCTTTCATAGATTTGTTAAATGATTAAATGAATTCATATGTGTGAAGGACTTAGAAGCAGTTGAAATACATAGTTTGTGCTATATATGGACTTATAAAATATAATAACTAAAATCCTCATGGCTTCTCATTACATGTAAAATACAGACTATTTACCGTGAGTCTCTAAGGCTCTACATTATCTTATTTCCTGACACTCTCTTCAAATTGCTTAAGACTCTTCTCCTTGCTCACTATTCAGCCACATTGGCTTTTTTCTTCCAGCATTCTGGATTTAAACGTACCTTTACCAGAGCCTGGAATGCTATTCCTCCCGATCTTTGTTTCATTCTCTCCTCAGCAATTCAGTTCTCTCTTAATACATCGCCTCTTACAAGAAATCTTTCCAGACCACTTTATCTCTCACTTTTCTCTCAGTTATATTCTGTTCTGTCTCTATGGTTTTCTTCCTTAACAGTTGCCATAATCTTCAATTATCATATATGTTGATTATTTACTTGTTTATTTCCTGTCTCCCATACTCCCAAGATAGTTCCATGATATGAAGTACTTTATTTACCTGGTTACCTTTGTGTGTGGATATAGAGCAGTGCCTGGCATCTAGTAGGTGCTTCATAAATATTTGTTAAATAAATTGTCAGTCTTATAAGTACACTTAACCATCTGGTGGAATTATTGCTATTTAATTCTTCTTGGCTAATGCATAAAATATATGGTTTAATATAATCTTGATAAATTAACTATAAGCAGTTATCTGGAATTAAGTAAATACCAACTTAGATGATTATAGTTCAAGGAATTGTTTTTACCTCTCATAGTTGCATGTTTCAGGGATTTTTTGATGTTTAGTGCCCTGAATAATTTAAATAGGTCTGAAGTGTAATTTTTTTCAGTCAATAGTACTTTTATTAAATCATTATGTAAAACTGCTATCTCTGATCATCCCTGATAGATGCAATTTAAGTTATTTGTAATTGTTAAAGATAAAGAAAGAAGGAAATAAGGCTGGGGTGTTTTCTTGAGATTTATAGCATAACTGTGCTTGGAGGAATGTATATTCTGATTCATGGCACATTTGATCAGTTTAGTAAGAATAGAGTATAGTGATAGCCTACTGCAGTGTTACATACAAAACTGTGAAGGAATATGGAGGAGGGAGTCATTCATCTTGACTGGACAGGCTTTGCATGTAGTAGTGGTGAGATTAATAAGAATAAGTCAGATAACCATAATTCCTCCATATCAAAATCTGTAGGGCAGTGCTGGGACAGCCAATGTTAGCGTCATTGTTACTCAATGGGCTTTCTGCAGTGAACCGTATATTTCTGGAAAAAGATTCAGTGCCTATTAATACTCATAATTTTCTAAGATTTTGCTTCAGTTCTGATATGTTGGACAATGGATACACTTTGTTGGCTTCTATGGCCAGGCATCTGTCAAAAGTGGCCCTACAGCAAAGTGAATCAAGAGTTGCCCAGAGCATTCTCACAAGCTCTGCTAGATCAGGACATTTAGGACATCATATAAACATATCCACCTCTTTCCATCTCTAGCTGGTACTAAGAATACCTCTTAGTTGCATGCAAATGAATCCTTCCAAGACTGGTTTGTGTAATTTTTCAGTAATTTTTAAAAAGAGTGACATGTTGGGTTTGGAAACTTTCCTCTACTGAATCCATTGAATTGGTCATTGTTAGCTGTTTACCTAGAACAATGTGAAGTGTAAAGTAGAATATAGAACAGTTTGACCAACCTGTCAGAGTGCACAATCTTTGTGTTCTTACTCAGACTGCTAGTCAGTTCATTGCTAGAAACTTTGTGTTTCTGTTTTATTTATTGCTGTAATGGTTAGATTTTTAATGAAAACAGATTATATTTATGCTCACAAAACATGTGGTTAAACAGATACTAAGTGATATGGTGGACAGAGCTGAAAGTAACCAAGGCTTTCCACTTGCTTGTTTCTGTGTCTTTGTGTGTGCCCTCCCCCTGAGTGTGCGTGGGACCTGTGACTTGCTTCTAACAGACTATGCCAGAGATGATGGGATGTCACTCCCAGGGTTAACAGAGGACCCTGAGCTTCAGAAAGGAACATAGCTCAGCTAACACCTTGATTACAAACTTGTAGCGAGGTTGTAGCTAAGTTGTGCTCAGACTCCTAATAAAAGTACCAATTGTTTTTCCACATGCACACACAAAACATCATTATAAACAACTTTTGTGATGTCATATATAATGTAACTACCTTATATGTGAGATGGTATTCTCTATATTCCAAAATGGATGATACAGTATAGGGTGGGTGTGGGAAAGGTGTCTGTGCAAAATAAGTCAAAGGCAACTTACCTGAGGAGATAGGAATTTCTTTCATGGAACAGAGAGCTTTGGAAGGAAAGTAATCCTAATGGGGGTTAGTCGTGTTGCTTTTGCATATAGAAGGCAGAATTCCCCATCACTCCCAACCATTTCACATTTCCCCTGGGAGAAGAGAGGAGGTGGGGAGGGAGGTAAGGCCATAGCCAACAAGATACTGGGGAGAGCCCACTCCTCCCTTCTTTTGAGCAATGCTAAGTATAGAGAAGAAAAGCCATTTGCAGTCTGTTCTCCAGACTGGAAATTGTTCAGAGGGCTTGATGGGGACCTAATTATTTTGGTGGGGAGAGGTTAGAAATCTGGGACTTGGGAAAGAGGACAAATGCATGGAGAGGATGCATTTGTGGAAGGATCCAAATATGCTGGTGTAGGAAGGTTGAGAGGAGATAGAAGCAAGAAATGAAGCAGAAGAAGATGAGTCGGAGAAAGGAAGAGGCAGCCTTGTGAAGCCTGGGGAAAAGTCAGGTCTTTCCTCTCCATGTTCCACGTGGTGCACCCTCTTCCCACACCCCACATCAAAAGAAGGTAGTGGCTGCTTGTGTGAAATGAGGGAGTAGGATGTCTAGACCAATGACCACAATGCCTGAATCCCCGATTCCCTTCCTTTTCTGCCAGCCTTGCAGCACAGTTCCCTCTAATATACAGGTGCCCAGTGCAGCTGGCTTGCTAATTGTTGCCCCTTAATAAAGAATTGCTTGAAGGTTGCCTGTGGCTGTGACTCACTGCGGCCACCTGCGCCTACAGACTAGGCCTGGTTGGAGAAATAGTCAGTGCCCTTCGCTTTACCCCTGGTAGTTGGATCC